AATAAATACCGCTTCTTGTACCGATTTTGTATGGAAATTATTTATGTTAATATTATCTGCCTATTCTCGAAATTTAAAAAAAATTGTAAGAAAATTAAACTTGTTACACATTAAAACCTACACGAATAAGTATGAAATGTATAAATTAACATACGTTCAAATAGAAATTTAAAATTGTAATATTTTCAATGTTAGTACCGCAAAACGGGTGGCAATTTTTCGTATGCGTTCAGAATACAGGCAGGTATTTACAATTAAATTTTAAAGATGATCGTAAGAAAAATTTTTTTNTTATCGTAAGAAAAATTTTTTTTTGGAAACGTCCTTAAAAACAAAATGTGCAAACTTTAAAGACATTTTGGACAAAGTTCAAAAGATATTTATTATTTGGAATTTTAAAATTAATATAGTGACTTAGTGACTTGGTAATGTTGTATGACGAGAAACACGGTAAAATTTAAATCTAACCTAACATAGTCTCTTTTGCATACAGAGTTTTTGCTCTTTTTTCTTGTACAAATTATTAAAAATGAATGAAACATAAATCTGTTGTTGTTTACAAAATATTATTGAAATCCCTTTGTTATGCTTCTTATGGAAACGTCGTAATATCAGGATTGTCGTTACGTTTTTCAGAAGGGATTTACAAGCAATGAATTTCTTTGGTCAGGTATTCTCGATCTTTTTATTATATAAAAGATAATTAACATCAGCATCCATTTTTGGTAAAGTGATTATACCTTATAAAGAAAATAATTATAACTTTTTAGAAATATTCTAAAATCGCTTTTTTTTCTTTTTTAATTGTCTTCGTGTTATTTATAAAAATTTTTCTGGAAATTGTAGCCTGATACCTCCACCATAAATACACACCTAGCAACGAATAGGTTTAGGTACTTAACAAATAATTTATTTTTAACTTCAAGAAAAGGAATTATTTTTAGACGAGGATGCTCGTTGAACGCAATTTAACTAAGTGTTAAGTTAATGAGTTTCTCGAGTTTGTTTTTATTTTACTGTAAGTAAATATCTAATAAACTCAATGGGTATGTTAATATAACGGATTTAGAGGCACGTTCTTCTCTTTTAGGTGTATATTACAAAACAACAACTTGAAATTCACACTTTTCCTCCGACAAACATAGATTTTGTTTTTCAATATTTTCATTTTCTTCTCTTCAGTTTTTTTCCTTTCTTGAGATTATCGTGATTTCGTCCCATTGTTTACATTCTCTGAATTCAAAGCACCCCAGGCAAAGGAGAGATTCGAGAAAACTTGTTATCAAAATTCAATCTGAAATCCGCTTTTACGAATTTTGCAAACAGGTATCTAAAAAGGGCCCGTGGTCCTTCAATTTTCTATAATCTTTCGACCTCTGTCTGGGGTTTACTCGAACCGACAGAAGACTAATGAAATTACGGGGCTACATAACGTGATATATCACTGCGTATAATCTCATTTTCTATAATAAATCATCCTTAAAACTTAAATACTCTCCCTGTTGGTGTCATTATTGTGCCTGAGAGTAATTTAAGAGGTACCCACTAAATCTTTTAATACTTCAAATATTAAACCACGGGTAAGAATTCTGTTCAAAATGAAATACAATAAACCAATCCAAATTATTTATCGTCAAGCAAACGTGTACAGCATATAATGAAAAACAAACTTTAAGAATAACATTAAAAAAACCGTCAACACTGGTTGGAAACGCACCTCCACTCCTTCCTATCCTGAGCTAACTTTCGCATTTCCCTAAAAGTAGAACAGCCCACATCCTTAACTATTTTCGAACAGTGACCTAATGTAGGTCTATCTCTCCTCCACTTAACTCCTGTTTCTGCGTCTAATATGTCTCTCAGTAGACTCTCATGCCTGAGAAGGTGTCCTAAGATACTTCGTTCACTTTCTGTAGCAATGTGACCTTCAGTTTGACCGGCGCAAAGTAGAAAGGAACAGCACTAGGCCAGAAAAGGAAGGAGACAACTCTCTTAACCGGTGAGGAGCGTATAATCTGTACAGTACTGCACGGAAAAATTGACTATTTTATCCACTGCAATTGCATTGCTCAAATGTGGTGTTATTGGTACCAATTACTACTGAAAATATCAACGAGATGTTTATTTATATTTGAAGACATTTTAAGGGCTTTAACGCTTGTTTTCGACTTGCACTACTATTCATGATTGAACAAAACTTTTGGCAGGTACTGTATGAAAAAGTATGTTTAATGAACAAGAGTCGAGAATATAATGAGCCTTTTTCTCCCTACCTACGATTTTACCAACGACATCGCTACAGAAAGTAAATGAAGTATACCAACCTATCTCGCCTATTTTTAACCATAGAGTCCTCTATTTTCCTATTCTTTCTAATGCCTCTTTATTTTTAGCTTTCTCTATCCACGATATCTTCATCATTCGCCTGTAGCACGCTTAACATAACCTAACCTTTTCTTTTCCGCCGCACCTACCGTCCATGATTTGCACCCGTACAGCGCCGCACGTCAAACATACAGCTTTAACAATCTTTTTCGAAATTCCAAATAAAATATTCGCGAGCATAGAAGTGACTTCTTTTTATTGAAGGCGACTCGACCCTGCGCTATCCTCTGCTTCATATCCCTTCTACTCCTTCCGTCCTGTCTTATCTGACTTCCTAGATACCTAAAATTAGCCGCTTCTTCTAATCTTTCGTCTCCTATCTTTATATTCGCTCCTTCTCTACTTTTTCTTCCCTTGCATACCAGTATTTTTATTTTACTTCTATTTATTTTCTTACAATACTGTTTTGTCAATACCGCTTCCATTTTACTTAAAGCTATCTCTAACTCCTCCTTGGTAGATGCTAATCCTGCTATATTATCTGCAAATCTAAGCATGCTAATCTTTTGCCCCTGTATATCTATCCCTACAGTTGTACTGTATTTAATGATGTTGATCGCGTCTTCAATGTATAGATTAAACAGTAGTGGTGACTATGTGCATCCTTGTCTGACTCACTTCCTAATATTTACTTCACTGCAAAACATTATCAAAAGCTTTTTCTAAATCTACAATCTTACGTACGCACTCAAACCCAAATTAATCTTTCCTTAATAGTTCTTCCGCCCTTTTTTCCATCCTCCTGTGTACAATTCTAGTTAAGATTTTTGACGCATGGGAAGTTAAGCTAATTGTTCTAAATGTCTCGCACCTATCCGCGCCTCTCTTCTTAGGTTAGGTTACTACCACGTGATCGTGATACATAAAAGAAACTCACACAGAATTACCAGAACAACTTCTTAAACAACCGGCACGTGTTTCGCCCACTATGAATATCAGGCAGACTCAAAGAGGAACTTTGCCAATCCAATTTCTACTTAAATAAATGATCCAATAAGCTATTTCATTTATATATAATCAGAGCGTATTCTCAAATCATTAATATGAGCTTCAGTAAGAAAAGTTGTGATAAAATTGGACACTAAAAATTCAGTTTCCTGCTTCCTTCAGTCGGGTTATAGCAACTTTATTTGATTGGAATTTCAAATTGGGTCGAGCAAATAAAGTATTCTAGAAAAAGAGGAATGTTTTGTGGAAATAGAGTTATAATTGAGTTTCTCTGTTGGGTCGACTAGAAGGTATAAATAACTTTCGGGATTTATCATACCACACAGGTGGCACTTAAAAGACGTATATTTTCCGCAAAAAGGATTTCAACTCCTGTACTGTATTCCGCCGGGAGCAACAAATAACACAAGAGTCCCTCTTTACGTAAAAATATGATACTGCTAGTGGTTTACATCTATTTATTACTTACCAGGTATATGAGTTTTATTCAGTACATTACCACGATAAAGTTTTGAGTCACACAAAACGCGTTCCTCTTTAAGATTACCTTCTTTGAAAGGATTCATTATCACGTCCGATTAACTAATTTTCATTTAATCCGTTCAAAGTCGTTGCTATAAAATTTTCATACTCTATTGGCAATCTTGAACTGCGAATCCCCTTTTGAAATGGCTCTTTAAAAATAATCGTTGCCGAAGATATGGTTCCCCAGTTTCACATAACTTGACTATTAGAGACAGCGAAAACGCATTTGCTAAATTCTTCAGTTGAACCAATCGTGCTTTAAAGTAATTGCATATTTATTAAAGAAAAAAAAACTGGGTGGAAAAGGTAGATATTTTTAAAAACTCATTTTTCAAGCAGTTCAATAGTTTTGAAGTTGTAAAAATAAATGTTGATTTAATTAGATCTTGCAAAACAAATCTCTTCCACTTTTGATTTAATAATAAAGGCATTTAGATAATTGAATAAATAAGTAAAAACAGTTGCCCTTACATGCACGTAAATGTTTTTAGGTTGTTAAACAACACGCAATTGTTAATTTCAATTACACCTCAAACCTTTAATAAGGGAAATTTACTGTAGGCAAACTGCCTTGAAAACTCGTCTTCACTACAGGAACAAATTATTATCACGAAACTACTACAGAGTTCTTATTTTCATTTTGTTTTAATCATTCTACAAATCAATTTCCTTCTTGTTTACGAAACTCTAATTATAATTTTATTAGAAAACATTGTCTTAAATTATTACTTTCTGTTTTATGTAGTAGGTACCTATATCAGTAAGAATATTTTAGGTTACTTTAATTAACTTTTGAATTAATATTTTGTACCACTACAGATAACCTCAAATTAATGAATAAAAATTGTTACTACTGTCACGCCTTCGCCGGGAATCGAACCCGGGTACCTGGCATTGCCTTATCCTAGGCTATGAGAGGTAACAGCAGCAACAAAGACAATCAGGGATCCGGGTTCGGTTCCCGGCAAAAGCATGATAGCGTCAACAGCTTTTCGTCATTAATTTGAGGTTATCTGTAGTGGGAAAAATTAGTTCAAGAATTAATTCACTTTAATGTATTGAAAACCCAACGAAATTCTTCTAAAATTCTGATTAATAATATTGATTTCAAACTGTTAATGAATAAAAAAATTTTTTTTCAGATATATTTTGTCTCTTGCTCTTGCTGATCTTCTGGTCATCGTTACATGCGTACCGTTTACATCCCTGGTTTACACGTTAGAATCATGGCCTTGGGGTGTTGCCGTATGTAAACTGGAAGAAACCACCAAGGGAATTTCTATTGGAGTTTCAGTCTTCACATTAACTGCTTTATCAGCTGAACGATATTGTGCCATCGTCAACCCACTTAAAAGATATCAGGTAAACTATTTCTAATATATTGTTGGTTCTCGTCAAACACTTTTTATTGGCATCCGACAAATACGTATGCACTAACTGGTGGTAGAACATCCAACTGCAATGAGGGATAAACATACATGGGAATGGTGCAGATGAATCGTAAAATTCTTTATTAAAATCATAAACAGCGTTAAATAAATGAAAAAATTTTTGATGATGGAGTCCGCCGTTTTCACCTCGTGTAAAATAAAAAAAACAACAAAATTGGTATTATAAAAGGGTGTAGGTGGTAGCACCTCCGACAAAGGACTTGAACTGTGTACTTCTCGATGAAAATTATGTGTTTTGTATATGTAGATAATAAGTACATAATTACAATTGAGACAATCACACAATAGATGTTTGTAAGAAA